AAATAGTAGTTTTCCTACGAGTTTGAAAAGTCTCTATTTTCGAACCGAGAGGTTTGCGGCCCGAGCCGAAGGCGAGGGACGTAACGAGGTTCGTAAAGGAGACTTTTCGAACAAGTTCCGGAAAACTGCTTTTTCGCCCGAGGAACTACCAGCCTCCCAAAACCACCCGAGTGCGGAAAAAATTGTTATTTTTCAGATTAGTAAAACATGTGTATTTTTTTAACGGGTTTTTGCAGTTTAATTCAACCAACTGCACTCCGAACCAGACCTTAATCGAACCGAAACTGATTGCAAGTGTAAGGAGCCGACTCCGATAAATGCATAATATATGCATGATACATATATAGATATACGACCTTGTCGCAACATCAATAATGATAATAGCGCTACCAAGCATACCGACCTCAAGAGTCAAGCAATATGCGCCAAAATTGAAATCTTTTATAGCAACGTAATAATAACCATAACACTAATTATAATGACAATAAAGACAATAAAATAATACAAAACAGACGATTCTAGAACATATCAATTAATATAAAAGGCTATGCAAAAAGCTCCCCATAATTACAAAAATTTTGGACCTTTGGGAGACGATACTTTACTTGTTTCAGAAGGAATCATCAAGCCCCTACTCACCTTCCTATACAGTCCTACACGCACGCCTACTTATACCTACCCCAACCCAACCAATGGGTGCACTCGCGGCACGTCAGCATTCAGCATCAGCAACAAAGTTAGCAACTCAGAAAATCACCACGACTCTATATACTTATTTACACATGTTATCAAATCAATGATTTGAAAAATTTGTTTGAAACTTTGGCAATTTTATGTTGTGTTAAAAGTACTATCTAGTCATGTGGGCAGACACAATTTTAATTTTATTTATTAGTGTTTGCACGGCCCTTTTGGGTGAAGGTAACAAAATCATTTTGCTAACTTTTACTTTACAAGTTGTAAAAAGAAGCTCCATGTTCAATGATTTTCTTTTTCTCAAGGCTTAACTTGGTTGATGGTGTATAGAACAGAAAAGTATCAAAAACTCAAAGCAGAGGTTGAAAAACAAAGTAAAAAATGTATGTTTGATTTTTTTTTTGAGTGATAATGTCCAAAATTGCTCAAAGCTTACACAAAGTGTCTTAAACTGATTGAAAATTTTTTGTACAGTGGAAAAACGGAAGGAAGCTCATGGAGATTCACTGGATAAACAGCAAAAAAAAAAAATTGAGAGAGAAGAAGAGAGACTAAAAAATAATAACAGAGATTTGTCCCTTGTCAAGATGAAATCTATGTTTGCCATTGGTTTTGCTTTCACTGCGCTATTGAGTATGTTTAATAATATATTTGATGGACGTATTGTAGCAAGACTACCATTTGTTCCCATCAGTTGGATTCAAGGTCTGTCCCACAGAAATTTACCAGGAGACGATTACACCGAGTGTTCTTTTATATTTTTATACATTCTCTGCACTATGAGTATAAGACAGGTATACGAATATATTCAATACTTGAATCATTAAGCATTTTAAAAAACAAGCAGAATTTTTTTTATTTTTTATAATCACTTTTTCTTTTAGAATATTCAAAAATTACTAGGCTTTGCACCATCAAGAACAGCAAGTAAACAAAGTGGAAGCATATTTGGACCACCACCGCAACAATTCAAGTAAAAATGTATCTGCCTATCTGATTTAAATGCTGAATGATTGGAACAATGGTGAATGAAAGTTAAAGAAAAAAATAAAGAATATTTGTACATTTATTTACACAATATCTTACAAAAAATTACCAAATATTAACTTCCCGTAAAGGTTGCTCTGTAATAAATCGATCAAAACCTAATCTCGATAAATCAATTGTTTTGTATTGACTATATTTTATCAATTCCGATACTGCTCTTCCAACAGCAGGAGCTTTTTGAATACCATGACCACTAAATCCAGTGGCAAATAAAATGTTGCTGTGATATGGGTGGTAGCCAATAACACCATTCTCATCAAAAGTGTTGTACTCGTAAAATCCGGCCCAAGCTGATTTGACCTGGGGTTAGATTTTTTGTTTGTTTTAATGTGTTTTAATATGTTTTAATATGTTTTAAAAAGCCTTTTGTAACAAAACAAGATTAACCTTTAGATTTTCAAAAGCTGGCACGCGATTTGCTAGTTTTGGCCAAATTTTATTGTTAAAAAATTCGTAATCAACGTCCAAATTGTCTGTGGCAGGTTCTTCGTGTTCTTCTGGACTCAGACCGCAAATATAATTGTTATTCAAGCCTTCTCGTCTGAAATACATACCTGATGGGTCTATAGTCATTGGGGTATTTAATCCTGGTCCATCAGGAGCATGAAAACAGTACACGTATCTTTTTCTAAAATTATAAAATATTAGTTTACATCATTTTATGCATTTAAAAGATGTATTTAAATCAAGTACTAATTGATACCTCGGCTCTATTGGCAAAGGTATTGACAGGATTTTATGATGAGCTTTTGTACCAATCTGTACCATTCTAGCAACATCACCACTGAAAGCACCAGCAGCTATCACACATTCGCTAAAAGTTATAGGTCTCAATTTTCCATCTTCTGTTCGAACCTGAGAAACAAACAAGATTTTTTAACTTTCTTGTGCTAAACCTCTATTTTACTTTCATGTTATTCATTACTTTGACTTACAACTAAATAATTTGGCGTTTCAAATTCACTATAATCTCCAGTAACAACAGTACCTGATTTAAATTCAAAATTAAATCCTACAGCTTCTGCTTTAACAAAATTAACTCCCAAAGAATAAGCTTTTCGTTTCAAAGAACACAACAACATCCAAGGATCAAACCATCCTTCTTTTTCTAGTCCGAGACAACCTAATTCAATATTCTCCACATTTAACCACGGAAACTTAGATTTTAACTGGTTGGCACTTAACAATACATTTTTGGCTCCCAATGATCTTTGTAATGCAGAATTGTTTTGTAATATTTCTGCTGTTTCCTCAGTAGCTAAAGATAAATATCCATATGGATGGAACTGTAAATCCACAGGAGCTTCTCCTTCAATTCCTAAAAATTCATTTGCATTACGAATGAATTCCGCTCCATACAATGACATTTCTATATTTTCTGGAAGAGAAAATTGCTGTCGTAAGCCACCCACAGACAAAACAGTAGATGCTTGCTTGTACTGGAATAGAAAATTATCATCATTTAATCAATAATAATTAAAAAATACCCTGTGTCTATTCGCACCAAATTCACGTAAATACGTGGATATAAGTAGAGCTGTATCCACGTTTACTTGGATGTGGGGCTTATAATATCCAAGTAAATAATAATGATACTATCCACACACCACTCGAGGTGTTATCTGTACTGTGTAATATCTACGTATTTACGTGGATTTAGTGCAAATAGACCCAGTGTAAAAAATATGATACAATTTCAACAAAAAATGTATTTAACAATACTTATTCACGTACCGAATCATCTTTCTCCACCACCACTACCCTTAGACTTTTGTTTCCCAAAAGTTTGGTAAAGTAGGCAACAGAACTGCCAATTGCACCTCCACCAATTATCACAATATCACAATGATTTGGAAAAATAGGTGCATGAGGATCATCCCAATCAATAACTCTTCCAGTTTTTTCACAAATTGCAGGATTTTTAAAATCTTTCCAAAACATTAAATTACGCTTTAATTCAGCCATGTCTCTCACTAAACACCTTTTCATTCGGTCAAGTGCATCAGGGTTCCCAAGATCAATGTTTTTTGCTACATAATCGTTATTCTTATCTGATTCCTTTGACAAAATAAAAGCAATTAAACAGATAATCAAACATAATAGATTATTTTTATAAATAGTTTTCTTACTTTTGTTGAATAGAAATTACATTCCGTAGATAGGGCCGATAGTCGTTTTGTTTGCCAAAAAGACCTTCTGACAAAGGATTGCAGCATTTTGTAAAATTTTATTCAACCGATAAATTTATAACATTAGCGTTTCAAAGGCTTCAATACTTCATGAGACAATAACTAAACTCGAACCAAGTACTTGAATAAAAAATTGTGTGATATAATCTCATCGTATCAATCTGTGTTTTATTTATTCGATAATACACATGTTCCACAATCAAAGGAAACTTACGAGTTGACAAAATAAGTATCGACGTAAATTAAGATAAGAACGTTTGAAAATTCTAGGATGTATCATATCGGATACTTCTGTTTATCTAAATATACACTAAGGCTATAGGTTACTACACTGTAGGTATGTATATACAATACACTGTAGATTAGCTAGCTGTTTTATCAGTTCTACACTTCTACGTTCCTAATGAAGAGAGAAAAACAGCAATTTTTTTTTGTCAAAACCTATGATTATATAGCTTTTTACTTAAAAATTTAGCGTATTTATCACTAACGATTACAAACAACAAGCCATGAAAACATCAAGTATAATTTAGCTGCAAAAAATGTAATGTTGGAAAAAATTGTTTTAAATCCCTACTTTTTTTTTGATAATCAACGGGAAATAGACGAGGTTTTCGAATAAAAGAATTTAATATTTTAGATAATTTATTGTTATTTTTTTTTTCAATGTTGAAATATACCTTTTGTATTTCAAACTTGTACAAAGCTTTAAAAACATTGTTTCCTTCAAGTACAAAGTGTATTCAAAAATACTGTTTTATTGTGCACAATGTTAATTAAATTAAGGCGTTATGTACAAGGACTTACAAATTTCTTTACAGTGGACTGTTACCTTACTTGTCATTTTAATAGTAAAAAAAAAAAAGTTTAATACATTTAACACACTTAGAAACGACTTTAATATGCATATCAAATAAAGTACTTATGATAAAACGATTGATTTACAAATGTCGATATAAAAAATAGTTAATTTTTAACATGCGATTGTGATAAATGCAAGCTCTTTCTTAATTCTAGGCCTATAGCTTTCGCCAGTGGTGGTGGCACAGCGTTGCCAACTTGTCTATGTTTATCTTGTACGTTTCCATAAAATCGAAAATTATCTGGAAATCCTTGAGATCTAGCACATTCACGCACGCTCACGACTCGTGTTTGTTCGGGGTGGAGAACGCGCCCCTGAAAAAAAGCATTAAAAAAAAATCTTTTATCAATATTGATAGAGTTACGTCGCATAAAACAGTCAAGACAGTGACGGTGAGATAAATATCGTAGCTGAAAAATTTGATCATCAATATATAGCATGATAAAGTGGCTCAAAATTTTCACCTGTTTTCCCATTGGTTCAGGATTTGTAATAGTGGTACTGAAAAAACCATCCCATTCGATTCTGCCATATAGACCTGCCCAGTTATTGTGTCGATTAGCTGTGTGGGGTAGACACCATGGTATGAGGGTGTTGTCTTGCCTGTCTAGAGGATTACACTCTTTTCCAGTGGCACAATTGCACACACCTCTAAAAGCTCCCGTGGAACTTTTTCCCACTTTCTTATCATGATATTTATACTTTCTGTTAAAAAAATGATTAAATTTATCAAAGCCACACAAAAATTAATTTCGATTTCATTTATTGATTGGATTTACACTCACAACTTGACAGTATGAGTTCCGTCGATCAGAGGCAAAACAATGTTTGGCAAATCTCGCCAATCAGATCCAGTCACTGTAGGAATGTGAGCCATACGTGCTTCTACGAGTAAACCCAAGTCTTTACATATATGATCAATCAGTACACTTTCGTGTATACCACTCCTTATCTATGATTGAAAAAAGGAAATATTTTTTTAACAGTATATTTTTATCGGTACTAAAAGAGAATATTTATAAATAAAATACACGTACCTGTCTTTGAAAATGTGATACAGGCTCACTGATGTAATTCATGACTTCGTCATTTTTGCCACTTTTAATTTGAGGTAAATCGGACAGTGCGTCCCGGACAGTTACGACCCTATAGGGTGCCGATTCAGTCCAAGAGTATGCTGGATCGTACTGAAACAAAATATTTTTATTACTTTTAAAAAGTTACATAAAATAAATAAATTAAAGGATTATCGATTGATCTCACTTTCTTATCATCAATGACAACACTTAAATTACAAGCTGATTTACTGAATACATGGAGAGGATTAGGCAACTTTGGAAGCACTTCACCAGGTGCAGCTGCTAAAATAATCATTCTGGAAAATTTAAAGAAACAACTTAGAGCAGTGAATTCATTAAAAAATATATTTGAATATTTTATGCTTTAATCAAATACCTTCTACGCGTTTGAGGAATACCATAACTTCCTGCTTGTACTATTCCAAATGTACATTGGTATCCCATTTTTAAAAGGCACCTCAGGGTAAGTTTAAGTACTACGCCTTTTCTGAATGTAACGAAATTCCTAACATTTTCCATAATGAAAAATCGCGGTCTATAATAATCACAATATGAGAGATACGATACTACAAGAGAGTTTTTGAAAAGCGAATAAGCTCGTGAATTGAATCTATTCATGCCACTAAATCCCTGACAAGGAGGACCTCCACAGAGTAAATCAACTTCGCCTTTACATGGCAAGCGTTGACCATCACTGACAGTTTCACCCTGCAAACATGGTTATATGTTTGTTACTAATATTTTATTAAAAAATAAAGTAAATAAAAATAGTACCAAATATTTTGTATCTGTACCTGTATTACTTTCGTTAATATTTTGTTACAATCTCCAGTGAAAACTTTCGTGTTAGGATTATTAAGTCGGTAGGCTTGTGCAGCACACTCGTCAATTTCAATGGCCCAATGGTTCTCTGTAACACCAGCTTGACGCAGGCCTTCCGAAAGCCCTGTTGAAAAAAAAAATCTTACAAGCTATCTAAATCAATTCTATCAAAAATTATTCATACTTGAATGAACTTTGCTTACCACCACAACCAGCAAAAACATCCAGCGTTCTTAGTTTGGTAGTAATCTTTGGATACTCTGGTGGGCTATCAATCACAACGTTTTGATTTTCTGGTTTTTTACTCTTGGATTTCAGTTTATCACTTTTTTTACTCACTTTTCCAATACTACATGCTTTCACAGGTGGATCATCAAACTCATCATTTTTACCATCATACATCAGAGAAAAGTAAAAGCGGTTTGGGCCTTTGACCGTCCATTCACTAACATGTTCATCTAAATTTTCCACGAAGGACAAATAGCATTTCCCAACTATTTGTTGAAATGGCACAACATACTCTAAAAAAACAAAGATTGCCATAAAATCAAATAAAAATCATAAGGAAACTTAATTGGCTATCAAAAGAATTATACCTTCTTCACTCCAGTACACTTCATTAAAATCTGATCGTTGTTTTAAAGATTCGCCTTTGCAAGTATTTTCTGGACGGTATAATTTTTTAACTGCTATATTCAGATTAGTGCAAGCAAGCAATATCACATTACTTGTCGATAATATTTTCGTAATGTATCCAATGTCAAAGGGCTCAGGAGTATCGGAATTAGATCCCTTGATGCGATCGTTACATTTGCGAAAGTATTCCGGGTACATATCTTCATCCACTTTTTTCATTTCAATTTTAGCAATGCCTTTTGGCTTGACCGGATACTTAAAATCAAATGTTTTAGGCAGTAGATATACGCAACTTCCCACCATAAACTCTTCTCCTTTAAATTTAAACCTGCCATACGTGACTTCGTTACGGCTTACTTCTTTTAATTTATCATATACTTCAGGTCTGGTTAATGATAGTGAAATATCCCTACTACGATTGCATGAAGCACAATAACGATAGAGCGTATCAAAATCAGTAACAACATCTGGCATGACATCTTTAAATCTGGCAGTAAGAGGATCATAGATTTTCTGATAATAAAATGAAGAACAATCCTCCGACGATTCATCCATACTAAAATCAGCGTCGACATTATCTGAAAATGCAAGCAAATTATGTGTCAAACTGAAAATCATCACAAATGTAAAGATTGTTATGTCACTGAATCTAATATTAAATTTTTACCATCAGATTTCCAATTTTCTGGCATATTCCTGTAAACTACTGCAGTCTTACATTTGATGTACGAAGCAGGTACATCTTGACAGTCATCGACTAGAAACAGTTCGTTTGAACTTGCCGTTTCACCTAAAACTGTTTGACTTCCTCTCCACAACCAGGTGGCATGAATCATTTTAATACCTATTTTATTCTGCCACATGTATTTTATTTGAACTATGTGCAATGGCACAGATGGATCAATCGATTCGATATAAATGAATTCGTTTAGACTGATGACTTCGTTCTCTAATTGAAGAGCGCTATAAAAACGACACCCTTTTGAATCCACCCCAACAGGCTCGCCAATCCATTCCATCCGACAAGACCTACTTTTTAAGGATCCCCTCATTTTTTTATGAGCATCCAAACTCAGCTCTGCATCGGGTTCAGAAACAGTGTCGTCTTCTACATCTTCTGCATTTGCTTCCTACAGGGAAAATTTTTTCGGATGAATTTGTAATTAACACGATTATTGAAAACAGTTTGCCGAAAGTTACCTGTATTTCCATGTTTGGACAGCGACGTCTAACACAAGCTTGTTTAGTACGCCCTGGACCACCAAACTTCAGCATGCTTTGACAAGCAAAACATTCACCACAATCGGGTTGCTGGCAAGGCTCGCATACACCACATCGACGACGCTTGAAAGCTAAATTATCCGTAGTATTAGCCAGCTGATCAGGAAAAAAATTCTCAAACAAATTGTTGACCAGTTTGGTAGTTGTAGCTTTTGTAAATGCGGTTTTCTTTTCTTTCTGCACTTTTCTTATCAAACCCTTCCTCCATTCATCTTCTTGTCGCCGATTAGTGTATTTCTTACCCTTCCTAACAGTTTTTCCCTTTTCAAAAGTAATGCCGGCAAGATCAACCAAAGTTCGCATGCATGGAGAAGTAATTAACAAAGGGTCTTCACCCGTGGCAGAGGAATCGAAAGAAAGAATTTGGTCACAAATAAACTGAGCATGGTGCAAAAGTATATCTTCGGTGAACTTAGGCAAGCCTGATGGCATGGCAACAGTCTAAAATAAGGAAAAAAAAATACTTAAGCCATTCCGATGTTAACATTTACGAATCATGAAAAAAATTTACCTTTAGTTTGTTCAACAGATCTTCGTATTCAAGATTATGTTCTTCTAAAAGAAACTCTATCACAGTTTTGCTCATAAAACTTTTTTCCCTTACTGCAATCATAAATGGAGCATACTCTTCTGAAGGCTCCATTAAGACATAATCTCCAATTTCTGTGCTGAAGGATATAACGGCTTGCTCTCCTCCATCAAATCCAGAAACCCACCATTCAACAATGGGACCCATATCTTTCCCCGGTATCCCTCCTTCGATAGAAGAGTCATCTTCATAGATAGGTTTAACATATCCAGAAAAATAAATATCGATGTTTCGTTCAATCAAACCGCCATCAAATGGGCATACGTGACCGTTTTTGTCATATACACTAATGGGAAAGAGTAACCAATTTTCATTAATATCATGCTATGGAAAAATGAACAATTATAATAAAATTAACACAAACCTAAATGAAGTGACTTTGTTAAGAGCTCGAGCATCGCCTTCTGTAATATCAGTTTCATCCCCATTGAATAAACACAACTTTGGATTCAGTAAAACTGAATACTCATCAACAGCATCATTTGGATGCCCAATGTACAATCTTAGATCTTCATCATTCAATTTTTGTAAACAGATTTCGCAAACTGATTCATTTTTAGTCGCTTTTGTTTTGACAGATTCTTTTTTGCCCCAGCCTGTCTTAACTTTCTTGGTTGCCTGTTGCTCTTCTAAAAGTTTTCTTTCAGCATCGTTACCACCATTAGAGGGTACTTCATTTGCAGCTACAACTTTGGAACTGACTTCATTTGTTTCGACCACCATTTTGGTAGATTTCAAAGCAGGCACTATAAAAAAAGTTTTAAATAATAAAATTATAGGGGAAAAAACTTTGTTAACTACATACAAAAATTTCACATACTATCTATCAATACTAGTGATACAGTTAATATAAGACATTCCAGTTACATTATGTTGGTTATTAATAGGGATGAAATATTTATGAACAATAAGATACACAATTCGGGTAGCATTGTATCTTTCGAATTCATAAACATTTTCATGTATGCGACATCAAGTATAAATAAACTCAAGTTTAACTGTCTGAAAATTACTTTCATTGCTATAAACTAGGGCAAGTAATAATTAAAACTCTATAAGTCTCATAGATTTATACCTACTTAAGTGAAAGAATAGTTAAAGAAAAAATGACTGAGAAAAAAAATAACGGAAGCCAACTTTTAGGAAGAACAATAAAAAAAATGCGCCCGCAACAGACTTCCCTCGCAATCTTGAAATAGTTAATATGCATATCGTATAAAAATACGGATACTTATATCTAAAGAGAGTATATGCTTAAAAAGGATAAGTAAACTACTTGGTAACCTCGTCAAAAAAATAAAAGTGTTTTGACATCGGCCGGCAACGATGGTTCAAGTATCGGCAACGATAGCACATTCGTTGCAAAATCTCGCAAAAACCAAGAGTAAGAAAATAATGTACTTGGCTGTGCACATTGAGGTATAACCACACAAACAAGATGAAAAACAGAACCAGACGAAATAAAAAAATTCTTTAAGTACTTACTCTAAATGATTGCTGTTGACAAGCTCGTGTACCTAGGTATGCGTATAGACACCGCTGAACATCCGAATCTGCAAAACAAAACAAAAGCTGCCTTGCCCACTTGCGGATTAAACGTGTTTTTCCAAGAATAGCCGTGCAGAACAGAACCTTTATTCTCGTGAAGAGTCCAACAAATGTCAACTGATTGGACTGATAACTGATCGTAACATTCATAACCCGCACGTAGACTCCTTCAACCGCAATTCCTACAATGTTACACAACAAAATACTTCCTTAATTATTATAGCTTCTTTATGGCGTAAATTTGAGGGTTGAGACTATAACTTGACTTACACAACAGAAAGAAGGAAGAGGACGAAATGAACGCATGAACCGGATGAACTAAAAAAGTGCAACGAAGCCAACTGATATACTGAATTTTTGCGTGGACAAAGCCACAAACACCCCAACACGATGGATCGTTTTTGTGAGATTGTGAGTGGCTGCAGCTGCAGCTCAAAGAGAGAGGAGGGGGGGCAGCGGCAGCTTTGCAAATAAGCCAATTGGAATTGCCGAATGTGGCTCCGCCACCGTCCACCTCCCGATAAATCTTGAATACTGAGGCGCGAAATTTCAAAATCTTTTTCTCCCATATATTATAATGCAGATAGTGTACCAGCTCCCCATGTCGTTTTAGCGTATTTTACTTACAGTTTTTAATTAGAAACGATTGATTTTGATAAATTATACATACATATTATCTATATAAATCCAGTGACTTCTATATCGATTATTACGATGCACATCCCGAAAATGTTTAGCGAACTGATCGCTCTCTGCAATCTGCAATTTCGTAATTCGTATTGCCGAACGAGAATATGTGTGTGGGTATATGTAGATATATAGTATATAGAGTATAGAATAGAGGTGTCAATGGTGTCATGTATAGGGAAATGAATCGTCTGCTACAAGTTCTGATAAAATTTTTTTTTTTTCGTGCAGAGTTGTCATACCAAAATTTTGCGGCTTTTGATTATAGCATTTCAAAATAAGTACATAAAATAATAGACCAATGTTGTCAAAATTTTAGTGCGCATATACACTTACAATATTGGGAATTCGTTACCTTCACCCTTCTTTTCTATTTTAATAAGCTGGTGGTAAAAAAATGATTATAAAAAATTGCTCTGCATCACTTTATTCATTGCCTAGCAGGTTAAATATTATTTTTAAAAACAGAGGAGTGTCAAGTAGCCGTTCACAGTAAGTACTCAAAAGTTATAAATTTCATTATGCGACAATAATTTTATAAATCGTTAATATTTTTCATAATAATGGTTAGTCAAACACCCGTAAAATTAGCATATGCTTCATACGAATCAACAAAAGAGGTTTCAGACGGTTCTCCAAAATCTCCTATTTTAATACATCATGGACTGTTTGGTTCCAAGAGTAATTGGAATAGTTTGTCAAAAACAATACACCAAAAAACAAAGAGAAAAGTGGGGAAAAAATTAATTGTGTTTTTAAATACATTTTTTCAGTAATTTAAACATTGTATATTAACACAGGTTATTACAATAGATGCTAGGAACCATGGAGATTCACCCCATACTCCTCAAATGTCTTATTATCACATGACTGAAGACGTGAAACTGCTTTTGAAAGATTTGAACATAAAAAAAGTCATACTGATGGGCCACAGCATGGGCGGAGGAACCGTTATGTATACTGCACTAAGTTATCCGGATTTAATTGACAAGCTCATTGTTGTTGATTTTTGTCCAACAAAAACTAGCCCTAGTCTTCTGTTGATGACCAAGTTGTTTGAAGCTATGCGTTCAGTATCTCTTGATGGTTCACCTACATTGTCAAAAGCCAGAAAATTAGCAGATGAACAGTTGTCTGTATCAATAAAGTCCAATCCCGTACGACAAGTATGTAGTTCCTTTTTTTTTTTCTTTTTTTTTTCTCTTCAGCGATTTGAAAACTACTCATGAAACCTAAAAATACTAATGTTTTTAGTTTTTATTAACAAATCTTATTGAAGCAGAGCCAGGAAAGTATAAATGGCGTATAAATCTTCCAGTCTTAGAAGAAAATTTTTCAACGAGAATTGCAGTTTTCCAAAATGAAAAAGATAGAACTTTTAATGGTCCAACACTTTTTGTTGGTGGATCCAAAAGCGACTACATCACCGAAAATGATCATCCGCACGTTAAAAAACTGTTTCCATCGGCAAAATTTCATTATATAGCTGATGCAGGGCATTGGATACATTCAGATAAACCAACGGAATTTATTGATTGCGTGACTACTTTTATTAATGAAAACCATTAATAAGAAATTTACAGAGAAAATACCTGTACTTATGTGTTCATTAGTGATAAGATAGACAAATCTTTTATGGTCTAAAATTATGATTCTTTTTCTTTTGAAATAGAAAACGCAAATTTAATTCTTGTACATTATTTATTATACATACAAACAAGATTTATTTTTAAAAAAGTGATTAAAAAATAAATTTTAAAGTTGATTTGTGCAAATTGATAGGAAAATGTGTTTTCAAAAGTGTAAATAATTAAGAAAAATTACATACAATAAAAGATGATAGTACTACACGTGATAAAAATAATTGATGTATACTAAATATACGAATGTATATAATATGTACATGTAAATAAATTTACACAAGCAAATTACAGCTAGAAAAAAATATTTTGGTCCTATAAAATTTAAAGAAAAGTCTTTAGCAATGAAATCTTTTTCTTTGCCTAGATTTTATAAATTTTTAAAAATTTCAAAATTTTTTCCATTCTTACGCGTTGTAACTTTTCCGAATTGCTTCTAATTAACTTTTTTTTCAAAAGACATAATCATTGAATTGGTTGTAACTCATCAGCTTATTTTCAAGTTACACATTTATTCCGAAATCAATTAGTGTAGCCGAAAAATTTAGATACACACGAACTAAAGAAAAAATTTTTCGATAAATCTATAAAAGCATGAATTTTAATGGTTTGGATAATTTTTTAAATCATCCCAGTGATGTGATTGGATTATATAAATATGATTTTGTAGTCCGTAGTTTTACTAAAGACTGTTCTTATAATTGTTGAAAGTAATCTTAATTTTTTTACTCCAAGCCTCCATCATATGCATAGTCAGCCTTATTGTGCATCACAAGTTGATCATCCACAAAATAAAAAGAGTCAGATCTCGTTTCAAACGGATTAGCTATCATTTCAGCCACTGAAAATTTAATTTGAATAGTACGATTGCATAAATTGTTTTATTTATTTACTTTCGATTTAAAAAATTTACCTAGTTCTGGAGCAAGTGTAGGAAATTCGTAAATGTGCTCACACGTATTTTTACTGTTGGGTATACAAAAACCAAATTCAAAGTCAAAGGTTTTTAATAATTTATCTCTGAAAAAGTGTCTTTCTATCATTCGGAAATTTTTCGCTGACCGTGATCCAACCATGAATTCCACTGTTGCTCCTACAGTCTTTAACTTCAAGAATTGAGGTGTGAATTGATAACGCACAAATCTTCCTGCATTAGAGTCATTTCGACCGTCATCTGAAGGAGTTGCTGCTGGTTTATAATCAAGTTCCTCCTCTATAAATGAACAAAACAAAATAAAAATAATAGCAATAGTCAAAAGTACTTACTTTTACAATAAAAAAACTCTTAGCAAAAAAGTTTGAACTACCAGTTGCTGGTGGTTTCGAAATTTCAAAAAGAATCGTTCCTGTTTCCAAATCACGTATTTGAAATCTAGTAAAGTCAATGTCGTACGTATTAGCCTCTGGTGTGCAAAGATAATCTGCAAAAACAAAACAAAAATTTAAAGATCAGAAGTTTGATTGAAAAAGAAAAATATTATTGAATAAATGGTGCTGTAAATTATTAATCAACAAACTTTCAGTGATGGCAGGTAGGCGTAGCACCATTTCAGGTGTTATGTGCTGTGCATCCTTGACGTTTCCACTGTCATTCTCTTTTTCTTCTTCTAGAACGTCTTTATTCGACAACAAATCGCTTTCGTTGATTAATTTTTCGTCAGTTAAACTCATGATTGTCAAAAAAATAATCTGCGAGCAAGAAAAAAAAAAAAAAAAAAAAAAAAAACTTAACACAGCAGTCAATAACTGAGAATAGTATATTATTGAATGTGCGAGACTTACTTTTTTCCATAAATATTTGATGTCGCTACTCGCTGTCACCTCATCGCTCGTTCAACCAATTACTGAAAACAGTACACGAATCGTATCATATTTTACGACATAACAATATATAAGTATGATTAAAACGAAATTTTACAATTATCAGTAGGTACAACAATTTCTACCTCTCATTTCACGACGTATCACCACGTACTTATAATTGATTAGTTCCATTGGCGTACGAGGTCGAGTACACACCTTTCGATAACAAATTCCATTGAAACGATTGTTGCAAAACTCATTTCATTTCCCCTACGAATTCATCTACAATCAGTATTGTTTTCTTTCTGAGCTAAGTAATGTAAAATGCATTGATGTATGATTGTATGCTTGTTATAAGTTTTGAAAATGGAAAGAGGCGTCGGTCATCGGTTGTTTGGTGTACACTGTTTACACTTGCCCATTTGCTTGGAAACGACTCAAACGACAGCGCAAGAAAGAGGTGCATATGTGTTTATATGTGACTGGCAAACTTGCGGGAAATTCAAATATATCAAAAATCCAATAAAATAGATATTAGAGATAAACACGATTTAATGCATTCATAATTAATGAGTAATCTAATGAAAGTAACTTTAAGTGCCAGAATAATTTTTTTAAATCTTTTGTTTATGAAAATTAAAAGTTTGAAATACTTATCACTATACTTGATAAAAGTCGCAACAAAAACCTTATTTTAGCATCGGAAATGACTCACAAAAGGAGCATTATGATACAGTGATAATATAACACTCGTAAAAGATTTTAATTCGAGTAACATAAAAATAATAGCTAACACGGATGGGTGCAGTAGCGCGCTGTTTTATACCCTTCGTGGGAGATATGGATTGCTATGGCAGGGACAGTCTCGCGGGATAACGGCGCACAATCTACAGTGAAACCTAGTGTTTTTTAAAAACGCACGCATAAGAGATGCTCTATAAAAATTAATAAATCGATATTGGCTATCAAGTGAGTAAGTGCGCCAGAGTCTGCTCGTTTTTGATAAATCGGAATGTTCGTAAAAAAAAGCTCCTTTGACTCAGGGACACAGTGCATTCGAGTCAATAATGTTAATAAATAACAATTATGCTAATGAATATAAAAGTGCATTTAATAAGTGACCCAGAGCGATCAAGTTTTTTCCGCCCTCGGGTGGTTTTGGGAGGCTGGTACTTCCTTGGGCGAAAAAGCAGTTTTCCGGAACTCGTTCGAAAAGTCTCCTTTACGAACTTCATCATTACGTCCCTCGCCTTCGGCTCGGGCCGCATACCTCTCGGTTCGCAAACAAAGACTTTTCAAACTCGTAGGAAAACTACTATTTTTTAATAGTGTGCGGAAAGTAGGTGTTTTCCAAACTATTTTTAGTGCGGCACATCAAATTTCCTACATTGATCATGAAAAAAGTAAGTGGAAAACTATTTTCCGGTATTCGACAAAGATTTTTTATTTTCCAGTGTGCGAAATAGTAGTTTTCCTACGAGTTTAAAAAGTCTTCGTTTGCGAACCGAGAGGTTTGCGGCCAGAGCCGAAAGCAAAAGGAAAACTGCTTTTTTGCCCAAGGAAGTACCAGCCTCCCAAAAACTCCCGAGGGCGGAATATTCATTTTCCACACTCCTGAAAATAATTAAACAAAAATTTCTAGGAAGTTAACGAAATATCATACATTATTTAAAATGACTTTTCATACTACCAGCAAGCTGTGTTATTGACACGAGATGAGAGCCAAATCATGTAGCCATCCTTTTTCTCTTATAAATTTTACTCTATATTATTAAACAGTTGAAAAACAAGATTTTACAAATAAAAT